ACTAATTATGAATTAGCTGTTAAAACAATTGATGGTGATCTTGAAAGCGATTATTCATTAGCTATTGAATATTCCAATGCAATTTATCCAATAAAACAACTAAATATGATAACAAATAATGATCCATCAAAAGTAACATTAACATGGCAATTACCTGATGATACAAATGGAATTAAATCATTTAATATTTATTATAATGAACAAGGTGAAAATGGACAAGAACAAAAAATAATTGTACCTGTTGAATTAACACAAACAACAATATCAAATTTAAAACCAAATACAAAATATTTATTTAAAATTGCTTCTGTGAATCAATTCAATGATGAATCAACACCTGAAACAAGATTATATAAAACACCTAATAGTAAAAGACTTTCTTTTTATTTCTTCTATAAATCTCTATTTATTTTTAGTTATTGATACAAAACATATCGAAGCAAATAAAGATATAAGTATGTATATCTTATCTCAAATTTTACTAGAAAAATTTATTTTATTATTTAGATCAAAATTTATTTGGATGGCCATCAATGGGACTATCAAATAATTCTTGGCTTATTATTCTTGTTATAGTTACGATTACATTTTTATGTTTACTTTTTACTGGTATTATGCTTTGTTCAAGAACACGTTGTTGTTCTTGTATATCAAATAATAAAAAACATATACACGATTCTCCAACACATATGCATCAACGACAATATTCACCAACAAGTAATACAGCATCATCATCATTAATGAAACCAAATGATCTATGGGCTGGTGCTGATTGTTTATCACCAACAACAACAACAGTTCTTCGAACTTCGAATACGTGTGAAAGACATTATGAAACATCATCAACTGCTGGTAGTGGAACATTACAACGATGTAATCATCATAATCATCATCTTCTTTATCATCATACACAAGAAAATCAACCACTAACAAATAATATTGATACAAATATGGATCAACAACGACTTTCATATGTACCATCAAATGATGGTTCAAGTTCAGTTGATGGACATACAACAAGTGGTTTTACACTTAATGGAAAATTTAATGCAAGTATACGTACAAGACCTATTGCTGTTGGTGCATCATTTGAACAACAATCACAGAAAAAATCGATGAAAAATTTACGTATGTTTTAATTATAAATATTATTTAGCAGATTAAATATATTGATTTGTCGTTTTAGCAATGGGTACTGCATTTATTATGAATCATACAAATGTAATGCAACAACAGCAACAACAACAACATGTTACTGTTCGACCTATTCAACAAAAAGCTCAATATGTTGTTCGACCGAATGATCAGTCACATTCGATTGGATCAGGTATATTTCTTTTGTTTTATAAAGTTGAATTTAATTATTTTTCTTTCTCTTCAAAGGTCCATCATCACCTGATTATCAACATTCACCATCGAATAGTCATTGTAGTTCGAATCATAATCAATCATCTATTCAATCAAATCCTTTACCAGGAACGATTGTCTATGAAAAAGTATCGAATTCAAATAATAATAATAATGAACATTCCGATAATCAACGTGCACTTCTTCTTCCATCAAAACCAAATCTACGAAGTTTTACTGTTCCTGTTGCTCCACCAATTATTCCTCCACCGCCAATGTCAAATAAACAACAACCTAATATAACAGCAACAAATTCTCAATGTAAATTCTTATTATTTTTTCTTATTACTTATAATTATTCTTTATTTCTCAATAGATAAATCTCCATTTCGTAGTCCAAATCGACCCTTGTTAAATAATTATGCTAAAGAAATAAAGTCTGATGAAATTGATACAAATCCTGCCGATGTACTCGAAGATGTTCGCAATCAATTAGGCAATTTAATGAAAAAAGATTTTCAATGTTAGATATTCAACTTTTCGTTTTTTTTTCTCTCAGGGATTTGCTTGCGTTTTTTTTTTATTAAATATTGTCAATGTGGTGCTAGAAAATTAATAATGTGTTTGTTTTGCTTTTTTTTCTGTGCAACATAATCTTCTCATTTCTTGTCAGACATTTTTTTATATCTTGTACAACACTGATATAGATATATATAGTCATTTTTTTGTTTGTCTAATAATATTTACGTCTATAGAAAAAATCTTTTTTTTTTATTTTAGACGTAAAGAAGTATTTTACTATTTATTTAAAATGCCCCGATATGCACAATTGGTCTTAGTAGGTTTCGAAGAATTCTTTTTATTGATGAACAGTTTGATTGAATGATATTTATAGGGACCAGCTGGTTCCGGAAAATCAACATATTGTAGTTCAATGGTTAAACATGGAGAAGTAGTTAGAAGAACAATAAACGTTGTTAATCTTGATCCGGCAGCTGAACATTTTGATTATCCAGTTTTTGCTGGTAAATTATTGTTCTTAGTAACTTGCAAATGTAGTTTGAGAATTTTATTTTATTTAGATATTAGAGAATTAATTGAAATTGATGATGCTATGGATGATCAAGCACTACGATTTGGTCCAAATGGTGGTTTGATTTTCTGTATGGAGTATGTTTTTATTAAAATAGTATGAGAAAGAAAAATGTAAAATAAGAATTTTAGATATTTTGAACGAAATCTTGATTGGCTACAAGAACAGTTGGGTGAAGATGAAGATGATTATTTTTTATTTGATTGTCCTGGTAAATTTATAATTTTATATTTTATATTTTTATTAATTAAATTTTTAAGGTCAAATTGAATTATATACTCATGTACCGATTATGCGTCGTCTTGTTAATCAATTGCAAAACTGGAATTTTCGTGTTTGTGGTGTATTTCTTATTGATGCACAATTTTGTGTTGAACAGTCAAAATTCTTAAGTGGAATGCTTACAGCTCTATCATCAATGATTCAACTTGAAATTCCATTTATTCATGTTCTATCGAAAGTTGATGTTTTATCAAAACGTGATAAGAAAAGATTGAAAAAGTAATTTTATTTTAAACAGTATTTATAAATATTTTGTTAAATTTCTAGATTCATCGATCCTGATGTATATCAATTAGCAAATTGTGAATTATCAAATAAATTTCTTGGTCGTTATAGTCAATTGAATAAAGCTATAGCTAGTGTTATATATGATTATAGTTTAGTTAAATTTTATACGCTAGATATGAGTAAAGAAGATTCTATAACAAATTTATTAACAGAAATTGATTTAAGTATACAATATGGTGAAGATTTTGATGTTAAAGAACCGAAAGAAGTTGAAGCTAATGAACAAGATGAATTTCATGATGAGGATGATTCATAATTCTATATATACATATATTTTTGTTTTTTGTTATATTTTTGTTTTTTTTTGTACAAAAAAAGAATAAAGTAAAAGAAAAATCTTATTACGAAAAATATAAATACGTCATTGGCTGATGAAAGAAAGAAGAAAAGGAAGAAGAGAACGAATGTTATTGCACCATAGCAAATGAAATCACTTAATAAACATTTCATCATATGGCCCGTTTGTTTTTCTTTTTACTTTTAGATTAAGAAATAAAATATAGTCATGTCGAGTAAGGCATGTAAATGTGGTGGAACAGAGATCGATACGGATCGAGCACGAGGTGTAAGTGTATGTACAAAATGTGGAGAAGTTATTGAAGATACATGTATTGTTAATGAAGCTGAATTAACTGAAACAAGTGGTGGTGGTATACAAGTTATTGGACAATGGCTTTCCAATGATGATGTTCGAGGTGCAAGTACTGGTGGTATGATGGGTTTTAATGTTCGAGAATCAAGACAAATAACATTACAAAAAGCTCGTCGTGGTATAATGGATATTGCAAGTAATATGCGTATGAATCATCATTGTATTGATGCAGCTTTCAAGGTATATATTTTTAAAAAAAAACAATTAAATTTATTTTAAAATAATTTTCTATTTAGATCTATAAAATGGCACTTGATCATAATTTATCTCGTGGAAATAAAGCTAGTCATCTTCTTTCTGCTTGTTTATATATTATTTGTCGAACGGAAGGTACACAACATATTTTACTTGATTTTTGTGATCATGTGGATGCAGATATTAGTGTTCTGGCACGTATCTATTTACGATTAGCACGTGAATTGTGTATCAATGTTCCACATACAGATCCATCATTACTTATACCACGTTATGCAGCTAAACTTGAATTTGGTGATCGAACAAATGCAGTTTCTAATACAGCTTTACGTATTGTTCAACGTATGAAACGTGATTGGCTTAATATTGGTCGTCGTTCATCTGGTCTTTGTGGTTCAGCTTTATTATTTGCTGCACGTATGCATAATTTTAATCGTACAATTCAACAAATTGTTGATGTTGTAAAAATTTCTAAAGCAACAATAATAAGACGTTTACAAGAATTTGAAACAACACCAACAGCACAATTAAATATGAAAGAATTCGATACAATTGAACTTGAAGAAGAACAAGATCCACCAGCTTTTTCTAAAGCTAAACGTATGACTAAACTTGCTCAACATGAAGAATCATTTAATATTGAACAAATTGAACGTGAAATAATTGATACACAAAAACAAATTGATGAACAACTAGAAAAATTACATAAGCCACGTGGTCAACTAGCTAAGTAAGTTAATCAATTGTGTTTTATTAAGAAAAATATTTGAATTTTTATTTTTAGATATGCTAAATATGTTGATTTAGAAAAAACAGTTTTAACTAATGAAGAAGATGAATTAATTCAGAAAGTTTTAACGAATAAAGCAACGAAACGAAAACTTTCTATTGATGATGATGGTGATGATGATAATGGAAGTCCATCTACATTGACCACAGCAGAAATAGAGCCAGTACCTATCAATGAGAATGATATGAAATGGGCAGCTAATTATATTGAAGAGCAACAAACACAATTAATTCTTTCTTTACTTGATGACATTCCAAAACCAATAGATAATACTAATGAAGATGGTGATGAAGATGATGATAACGAAGAAAAACATAAAGAAAGTGATTATAAATCTCTTAGACCATCATTAGAAACTATGGGCATTGGTAAGTTACTCGTTCTATATATGTATTTGTTATTTATTATTTTTAATATTCTATTCAGTACCAGTAACAACATCATTAAATTATGCAACAGATAATTTTAATGCGACTACAACAAATACAACTCGTCATCATCATGTTGTATTAGATCTTCCTGAATGGCATCCATCAATTGATTTAGCGAATGAAGAACTTGATTTAACCGGTATTGATGATAATGAAATTGAAGAAATGATATTAACACGTGATGAAACAAAATTAAAACTTAAATCTTGGTTACGTGAAAATAAAGATTGGTTTTTAGAAGAAAAACGACGTCAACGTAATAAAGAAGCTGCTGAACAAAAGAAAGCTGGTTCAAGTGGAATGACGGCAGCACAACGACGAAGACGTAAGAAAAAAGCTGCAGCAGCAACTGCAGCAACGAATGAGATTAATAGAGTAGCAAACAGTACTACTAGTCATCATCATCAATTAGCTGGTTTTAATTCATTGACACCAGCTGGTTTAGCTGCTGCTGCTCATTCAGCACTTGAAGCTGAGAAACATTCCCAAGATAAACGTGTATCAACTAAAATTAATTATGATGTATTAAAGAGATTGACAATGAAAAAAGATGGAACAGAACAAGTATCAACATCACCAGCAATGATAAATACAAATGAATCGGAAAGAACTACTTAAAATTTATTTTGTTCATTTTTGTTTTTTTTTATTGTTGTTATTCGTTTCGTATTTCTAGACAATAATGATTTCGTTTTGTTTCGTTTACAAATATAAGATTGTACAAAAAATGACTAGAATTATTTCAATATCAAACATTTGAATTTCAAAAGAACCTTTTGGGATAAATGTTAAAACGAATACATATACTTTAGTTATTCATCGTCGTCTTGAGGGGTGCGGGTATGAGTGTGAGTAATACTGGTTGCTTTATTTATATCCACATCAAACTAGTCCACACTCATAGAAAAAATTTTTTAAATGAGTTTTAATTGTTACGCAGATTAATTTGCTGCACAAATTGTTGTTCACATATATAAAGTACGGATAACGATAATGATTCAACAAAAAAAATCTTTATCAACAATAGGGTTGATTAGTAAGAAATTTTAGTTGAACATTTGCTACCAGCATACATGCGTAAATGCCATGATTTTAATGCGTATGTGTGTTTTCATCTAGTGCTAATTTACGATGTTATAAAAAAAACCAGGACTCCGTTCACAGAGTGGCGGAACAAATTAGTTGATTCAATATTTTTGTTTTGACGTAAAGAGAAAAAACTATGGTGTACAATTAGAAATGAATAAATAGTGTCTACTTTGTTCATTTTACTAAACAGTTAAAACAATGATGTCTTTCATCAGTTTAGTCTGTTTTATACTCTTACCTTCGATAAATCCTCAACTTCAAATCAATCTTCATTTAACCGATTGGACAAGTAATACTGAAACTAATGTTGATTTGCAACATGATTGTCTTCATGTTCCTACTCATTTGATTGAAGATAATATTCAATATCATCAAGTCATTTCATATTGTATGGGTGAATGGCCTTCAAAATGGAACATAGAAGAAAACAGTTTTGATCAAAATTACAGTTTTTCTCAACTTAAAATGCTTAATGTTACTAGTCAACAATTATATCTTTGGTCAGCTCCAATGGATATTGTTGAAGAATATGAATCCTATTTGAATCAAAGTTTATTTTCAAATCAATCATTAGCATTAATGGCAACACAGTTATTCTATAATTGTACACTACCAAGATTTGGATCTGTATGTCAATATTCATTAGATATTTCGACTTCTTCTTTTGCTTCATCACTGAAAGAAATCATTCATGATTTTTATTTGCAAGAATATGAACCATCGACTTGGACATGTTATACTCATTTAGAATGTAATCGTGGTACAAGTACAGCTTGTCTTGATTGGACTGAAATTTGTAATGGTCATATCGATTGTCTCAATGACGGAATTGATGAAAAACACTGTTGGCAACTTGAAATCAATGATTGTGAAGAAAATGAATATCGATGTAACAATGGAGAATGTATATCAAAGATGTTTTATCGAGAAGGCCCACACCATTTCGATTGTATTGATAGAAGTGATGAAGACTATAAACGATTCAATAGTACTTATCTTTCACAAGAACCAATACTTAGATTTGAAGATATTACATGCGACAAAAATGCCCGCATGAACACCCATATCTATTTTACAACCTCATGTGTATCTAATCGAAATAATCTTATCTTAGAAGACATGTTTCTGAACAAACCAAATTCAACATCTGATGAATGTTGGCTTGCATTCAGATGCCAATTTAATATTCCTCATTATGCAGATCCAATATGTGGCAATATGTGCAGCAAGAATGGAATATGTCAAGAAATTATCAATAACACATGTCCCGATATATTGTTTATCCCAAATGCTCCATTATTCTTTGGACATATTTATTTCGCTTACACAAAAGAAGATGCAGTACAGGTACCTGGTACAATTTTTCCACCACCGTATGTATGTTATAATGATCAATTATGCGGTGGATTTTACACAAATGCAGCATTATTAACATATAATAATCTAACCTGTCGTCGTCCTGAAGATTTTCCATTTAGCTATTCTACTATAGGAAGAAATGATTGGTTAAAGGCATATGTTAAACCTCTTTACACAAAATTGTATAAATGCAACACAATTATTCATAATATTTCCATAGTTTGTAACAATTCAATCATGTATCAATGTATTAACTCGTCCAAATGTATTTCAAAAGAACGTATTGCTGATGATTTCATAGATTGCGATTATGGAGATGATGAAGATCCGATTGTGATCTATGATATTTGTTTAAAAAATGAATCTAAAACGCTTTTTAAATGTTCAACAATAACTCGATGTATTCATTATCAAAAAATAAACAATGGTTATTGTAATTGCGACCGTAATGAATATGGTTTGTGTGATGATGAAGATGCAGAATGTCGAGCTGTTGGAACACATTTATCATTTCCGATTGTTTGTGATGGTTTTACCGACCTTTTTCCTGTTAATATCGACGGACAGAATGTAACAGATGAAACTGAATGTGAACTATGGCAATGTAATAATACGTATACTCGATGCGATGGCATCTGGAATTGTTTTAATGGAGCTGATGAAGTTCATTGTAATACATCGGTATCATTCAGTTGCCCATCCAATCATCATATATGTATTTCGCCAAGTACGAATCAACTTACATGTTTATCCCTTGCCAAAGCGAACGATGAAATTATCGATTGTTTGGGTGCCACTGATGAGCCAAATTTATGCCGATCAACCGGTTATGCCCCAAGCCAAATCAAGTTTTACTGTCTCGATGATAGCTCTTCACTTTGTGTAATGTCTGAATTTCTTTGTGACGGATATAAAAACTGCATCAACGGAGATGATGAACAGTTTTGTTCTCCAACACGAAATGTTTCCATTCATCGTGGTATTTGTAATGCTGAATATGATGGTAGCCGTTCTGATGTCGAAATTTTTTTTTGTGAACACGTGCATCTTGAGCGTAACAGAAAACCTGTGCATTTTTCGTTGGATGCAACCGAATTCAACAAAGTCAAAAACGCAATACATAAACTTACATATGGCATTAAAGCTATTTGTGAAGACGTGGGTGTTTGGCATAAAAAACAAGGTGTACATTCTCCACTGGATACAATCAAAATCAACAAAGACAAAAACACAATACACTCAATTCCATCTGACACAGAATCTATTGTTTATCATGATCGGTACCGTTGTCATCGTGGTCTTCCTTTACGTATCTGGCTAAGTCGAGAGAATAATTTGACTAATATCACGTGTCTTTGTCCACCAAGTTTTTATGGTAACATCTGTCAATATCAAAACCAACGAGTTAGTCTGACGATGAGATTTCAAGCATATTCACATTCTCGGCGAACAGTTTTTGCTCTTGTCATTACACTTATCGATGATAGTGACAAACGAATTATTCATTCACATGAACAATTCACTTATTTGTACTTTCGGGATTGTCGAGTGAAATTTAACGTTTATCTACTTTATTCTACTCGACCAAAAAATGATACACAAAATTATTCGATACATATTGACATCTATGACAAGATTTTATTAACTTATCGAGGAAGTTTATTAATACCACTTAAATTTCCTTTTTTACCTGTACATCGTATTGCTGTTCATCTTAATATTCCACGTATAAATGACGATATTCAAAGTTGTACAAATCAAACATGTGTACATGGTCAATGTATGATATATTCAGAAGATTCAAAAGGTACTCCATTTTGTCATTGTAATGAAAGATGGTCTGGCAAACACTGTACTATACCATATACTTGTACATGCTCATCTGATTCATTATGTGCTGGTATATTAGCAAACAATCGATCTATTTGTGTTTGTCCTATAAACAAATTTGGTCCTCGATGTTTACTTAATCATACAGTGTGTCAGTCTAGTCAGAATAATACATGTAATAATGGTGGCGTATGTATGCCTATAGATGAACATATGCAAATAGATGACAAGAAATTCTTTTGCATATGTGCGAAAGGTTTTACTGGAAAACGTTGTGAAATACCTGATAACAAAATGATACTATCATTCCATAAACATATTCAATTATCACAAACATTTATTATTCATTTTATTGAATTAATCAACAATAGTTCTCCTAAGAACAGCAGTACTCTCAGTAGGATTCCTATTTATCAAAAGACGATTACTATTTATGGGATATATCCATTTCATATTGCTTTTGCTCAACTTTTCGATAAAGATTTTTATCTAATTACTGTTCAAAAGATATACAATCTATCATCAACATTGGAGAAAACAATTATTCCATCAGATCGCTGTAGACATATAAGTGAAGTATTGAATGAAACGATCGTTCTATTACATCCAATTCGTCGTATTAAATATTATCATCTGCCATGTAATGAAACATCACCATCTTTACCTTGTTTTTTTGATGATATTCATTTTTGTTTATGCACTGATTTTAATCATCAACGGATCGCCAAT